GTTTTCTGCTAACTAGGAATGAGTACCTTCTTAGGCAGTTGTGAATGTAAAATATTTGCCATAGTCCAAGTATATAATTAGCTATTGACAAATTACTTTTATTAGTTATGTTTATAAAATATTATTCACTTGAAGAATGAATTGCACTTGAAGCACTGAGATAAATACATATGCCATCTATAAAGTAGAAGCTTTGAGTAAGGTGGTAGAATGCATTAATAAGATATAAAACTTGTTTTAGTGACATTTTGTTTATTAATGTTTCAGTCACTAAAATAGTATAGAACATTTAGTTCTCTGATTATTGTTTGCCCTTCTTTCCAAAAATAGGAAGATTTAAGTATTCTTGATTCCTCCTTTAAATAAAATTTATTTTGGGGGGAAGAAATCAATAAAGGAAAAATGTGACTTTTTTATTGTTTCATTATCTGATTTTTTTTCCCCTTAAATTTGTTTGTTTGCAGTTCTTCCCTTAGGAGATTTCATAATTCAGTCATATAGAAAATTCAAGAGAAAATTCCAGTGAGGTTATTAGAGAATTTAACAGGTCATTTTTACCTCTTTATAAGAAAAGTATAAGATACTAGTGTGGAGTTTTTAACATTAGACTTTACTAGGCATGGGAAACCTTTTGATTGGTCAGTAAATCTAACCACAAAAATAGTTTCTTGCTCTGGCCCCAGAACCCAGATAAGAAAAAGTTTTGTTTTGTTTTTTGTACCAGCAAAAAGTTCTTATCTCACAGTCAAATTACTGGAGTCCTCAAAGTTACTAGTCCCTGCGATTAGCCTATAAAGACAGAAGAACAGTTTGTGTGCATTTTTTAATGTGTTCACTATTTTTAATGTGTTAATGGGATTTTCTTTATCAGTGTATGAAAATGAAGACCAGTTACTTTGGCGTCCTGATGTGGTTTTGGAGAGCAAAGTTAAGGAGTATCTTGTTGAGACCTCATTAAGAACTGGAAATGAAAAAATAATGGATAGGATTTCTGTGGGAACACACCCAAGGGACAATGAACAGGTATAATTCACATTCTGTTCAAAACAACAGCTAACTTCTTGATTTCTTACATTTGATTGCAAAATACTTGTTTTTAAAAAAAAAATTCCTCTTTATTTTAAGAGGTAACTATATAATAGTTTTATGTCTTCTGTTTTTGTCTATACTTGTACTCATATTTTATATACCATTTTATATCCTTTTAATCACTTACACTTGTATTTTCCTTTGCCATTGAGAATTCTTTAATATCTCATTCTTGATGAATGTATTCCATCTTGTACTTTTAATATCTTATTTAAGTATTTTCTATGGTTGGACTTTAAGATTTCATGATAAAGGTATTGAGTTATTTTTGAATTTTACTCAGGAGGTGACTAAAAGGTAATGTCTATTAAGACTGTGTGGGGCTGGGGTTGTGGCTCAGTGGTAGAGTGCTTGCTTAGCATATGTGAAGCACTGGGTTCTAGTCTCAGCACCACACAGAAAAATAAATAAGAGTTATTTATGTCCAACTACAACTAAAAATAATTTAAAAATTTTTAAAGCTATATAAATTTGATTTAGGAGTGTTTGCTAAACACTTGTGTACCTATAGTTGCAGAACTTTGCCGATGATGATGTGGGATTGGGGAAAGGGAGTTTTGCCTATTAAGGGCTTTTTGAATACTCCACATTTTGACTCTCTGACATCATTTTGCCCCTTTGGATACTTTTTTCACTCTATATTACAAGCCAGATGATTCTGGTTAGTGGGAATCCAGAGATAGGTAGATTCAAATAAGAATTTCTAAGTAATAAAAAGAAATTATACTAGCTGAACTTAAAAGTAGTTTTTTGGTTTTTTTTTTTTTGTCAGCTATCAAAAAGAAATCTCATTGGGATTTAGTATTGATAGTTTATTAATTTTAAAACATTAAACCTTTCACTCCAAGAAAATACCCGAGTCTCCCTTTACTTTTTTAGTTGCTCAAATATTTTTGTTTTTGAATATCATTTGCATCTCATAATTCTTCAATATATTTTATGTCTATGTGTTTATTTATTGCTGATCTAAACAAAATCTGTTATATTTATAATTGTGTATTGTTTATAGACAAACTAGTTTTTAAAATTTATCTGAAGCTAGTGAAACTGATTTTTCAGTTGTTTTTGCTCTTCTAGTATTTTTTGAAAATTGAAATTATTTTGATGGCATCATAATTGCATACATTTGTGGGTGGTTTTCTAGTTTTAGAGTTATTATTAAATTATACTTTCTCGTTCCTTCCTTGCCAGTATTTTATTTCTTTTTTTTCCTGTTACATGTCTTCGTGCATTAGTATTACAACTCTCAGAGACATTTAGTAGTAATAGTGATTTGGGGCCTGCTTTTCAAGGAAGTAATGTATCTAAAATTTTCTCATTAAGAATAATATTGGTTCAGTATATAGCAAGAAAATATCCATCTATTTTTAACTAATACTTTTGTCTTTTTTAATATTAGAAATGAGTGTTGACCTAGGTGCTTTTGGGAAGCTATTGAAGTGATTATTTTTTTAATACAATCTATTGATGTATTAAGAAAATTTTTTCTTATTATTGAGCCATCCTTACCTTTCTTGAAACATACTTGGAAAAGTTATTATTAAACTTTCGATTGAATCGTCTTCTACTTGTTGTATTCATAATTCCAACAGATAGAAATTCTAATTGGAATAAATGGTACCTTTCATATTAGATGAAAATAACCGAGCCCATTATAAACCCCAGTCACTGAAGTATCACTCCTATTCCAGGCCTGCTCCTGTTCCCCTTTATTAAAACTAAAAGGCAGAGAATGACATCAAGACATAGACTATAATTCTAATTTTTCTCAACTAGAAAAACTCATCTAAAATAGGGGAACTTCCCAGCTCAAAAGGCCCAGAAATTTAAAAAAAAAAAAAAATCAAGAATGATATTGATAGATGACTTTTGAGAGGCAGAGAAAGGCTGAATAAATGCAAAAGGTACCAGAATCAAATTGCAGGATAGTTACATACCTTCAAATGTCATATGAAATTAGAAAGCATTGTGGCCAGAGTTTGTTAAGACTTTTACAATATACCCGTTTCTTAAAATGCTGTTAGATGTGAACTATCACTGATTTTTGTTTATCCCTCCTTCTCTCCTAGGCATTGTATGAACTTCTCAAATGTAACCACAATATAAAAGAAGCAATTGAAAGGTACTGCTGCAATGGAAAGGCATCTCATGGTAAGAAACATTTTGATTCAAGAGAGGGAAATGGAAATGAGGCGATGCTCATTGGGGATTAAAATAAGTAAAGTATTGTCTAGGGAAGAGCAGTTTTATAACATTTTGTAAAATCTATGTTCATCTTCATAGCAGAGAATTTTTTCCTTTTCTTGCTATTTTTAGACACTCTAGAGATTTTCATGTACAGATTATTTACCCCCTATCACTTACACTTTCTTGAAGAAATAGTTACAGAATAAAGCAGACACCAAAGATGACAGTATACCCAAAGTAATTGAAATGAATGATTTTATGATTTCACTGAAAGGAAAAGTTGAGCTTTTTCTTTTTTTTTTTTTTTTAAATCTAGGCAGCAAATGAAAAGGAGATTGAGGATTTAATAAAAAAGGAAAGATGTATATAGTTCCTTGAATTTATTGCAAGAAATATATTTTTAGTAAATAATGTAATCTCATTTTTATAGTGCTTAGGTTTTGTATCGTGCTTCATGAAAAATGGTTAACTTATAAAATTTTCAGAATTTTTTTAATGGATAAGCATTACCATATCTTTCACTAAGTATATGTAGAGTGAAAGTAATACTAAGTAATATTATATAAACAGGTTGGAAAAAATAGAAAAACTGAAAATAGTACATTTAAATTTATAGATTGAGATAGCTATTGAAATATTTCCCTTATAAAAGTTGCTTCTTTAAAAGTAATTATTTTAAGCTGTTAAACCTCTCACAATCTAAATACTGTTTTTTTCCTTAGTTCAAATTATTTTTTACCTTTACTATAAGATTACTGTTTATGGCTTTGGGGAACTGGTCCCTAGTACCATTCATTAAGTAAGATGTTTCAGAAAAAAAAAGGGAATAATAAACTAATTCTTAGGCATAGGCTGTGACCTTGTGAAGATCTGCCAGGTCTCTTGCCCAACTACATTTTTAATTCATCATCATTAACATCTGCTGGGAAATTTAATGGGATTTAGTGTTTTGAGAGCGTGGACTGTTTCTTATTCCCTTTATATTTCTAAGCATACCCCTCACATACTGACTTTAAATAAATAAATATGTGTTGATTGTACTTTATATATAGTCTCTAAAAAACATGGTTTTGACTAAGACCAGAATGAGGCCTTTTTATGTTCCATAAAGAAAATAACACCTTTTTTTCATAAGAACATTATATGTTCATTTTTTTTTTTAATTAGAAAAGCATAAAATTATGTTTTAAAACCCATTAAATTCTTATTACATGGTGCAGTGGGAAAAAAAGCATTTATAATCTTACATGAAATTTCCTACATACAGAATTTGTGTTCAGAAGTGAGTGAGAAGAGTGAGCTTATGGCCTGTTTACAGGAAAAATGTACTGAAAATATATCATTGATTCACATAAAAGAGTTTTGAGACCAGTGAATTTCATTTAAAAATTTTTTTAGAAGGAATGACTGCATGGACAGAAGAAGAATGCCGAAGTTTTGAACATGCACTCATGCTTTATGGAAAAGATTTTCATCTTATACAGAAGAATAAGGTAAGTTAGAGAAATTAAAGAATTTACTCAATAATTAGAATGAATATAAGCAGCTAACTTATGTCATTTGTATAGGAAAATAAAACAACAATTTTGTTAATTTTCCCTGATAGTAACATTTCTCATATTACTCTAAATATGTTTGAAATTTGCTCATAAGTACCACAGCTGCTCATAGGGTAGTATAGTCACATCTTTTGATATAAACAGTTAAAATAATATTGTACTCACAGAAAATGAATTCACTATATTTTCCAGAAAGACTCACTGTTCCACATTTTTCCTTATTACTTTCTTCCAAGCTTTTTGGAGGTTTGTGGCCTCAAAAATGTTTCTGTTTGGCAGTGAGAACTGCAGTTGCTGAAGAAATAAATATTGTTATTAAAAGCGACTAAATATATATTCTGACCAAAACACCAATTGCTGAGGAGAATATAGAATAACAGGAACTCTTATTCATTGCTGATGAGAATACAAAATGCTGTATCCACTTTGGAAGACAATTTGATAGTTTTTAATAAAACTTACTAAAGTCTTACTAAATTATTTAGCAATCCTGCTTCTTGGTATTTACCATATGGATTGAAGATTTTTATCTACACAAAAACCTGCATGCAAACGTTTAGAGTAGCTTTAATTATAATTGCCCCAAATTAGAAGGAGCAGATATTTCCTTTGAGGTGAATGGTTAAACTGTGGCACAACCAAATAGTGGAATGTTATTTAGCACTAACAAAGAATGAGCTCTAAGCCACAAGAAGTCATGAAGAATCGCAAATACCTATTATTAGATGAATGAAGCTAATCTGAAAAGGCTACATACTGCACAATTCCAATTGTATGACATTCTGGGAAAGGCAAAACTATAGTGTAGTAAATAGATTGTGGGTTACCAGAGGTTAAACAGAAAGGAGGTTTGAATAGATATCATACAAAAGATTTTAAAGAAAGTGACACTATTCAGTATAATACAGTAATGGTCACATGTGTTGTCAAAACCCATAGTGTATACAGTGTCAAGTGTGAATCCTAATGTAAACTATAGACTATGGGTGGCAATTATTAATTGATGTTTTAACAAATATACCATTCTGGTGTGAGATAGCTGGGGGAAAACTATGATAGTGAGGGAACCTATGCATGTATCTAAGCAGGAAGATATGGGAATTCTACTTTCTTGCTCAATTTCAGCATAAGTTTAATGCTTCTCTCTACAGACTGTGTCTAGATTCTTTTTTGTTTGTTTTTTCTTTTCTTTTTTTGCATGTGTTTGTCCAATTCTAGCACCATTTTGTAGAAAAGACTATCCTTCCTCCCTTGAAGCGCCTTTACTCCTTGGTCAAAAATCAGTTGCCTAAATTTTATGGGTATAATTCTCTAAGTTTTTTTTTCTATTAATGTATTTGTCCATTTTTTCTCCAATACCACACTGTCTTGATTACTGTAGCTTTATAATAAATCCTGACACTAGGTAGTGTCAGTTCTTTTAGTTTTCCTTCAATATTGTGTTGGCTATTCTGGGTCTTTGATTTTCCGTATAGAATTAGTACGTCATTCACAAAATAACTTGCTGGGATTTTTATTGAGATTGCACTGAATCAGTACATCAAGTTGGGAAGAACTGACATCTTTAACTGTGATCAGTCTTCCTATCCATTAACGTAGAATATGTACTTTGATTTCTTTAATCTGAGTTTGGTACTTTTCCTCATGTAGATCTTAACATATATTTTGTTAGAGTTATACTCAAGTATTTACTGGTGGGGGTTACTAATGTAAAGTTGTATTGTATTTTTTATTATTATTGGTTCTGGGGATTGAAATCAGGGGCATTCGACCACTGAGCCACATCCCAGCCCCCTATTTTGTATTTTATTTAAAGACAGGGTCTCACTGAATTGCTTAGCACCTTGCTGTTGCTGAGGCTGGCTTTGGACTCAAAATACTCCTGCCTTAGCCTCCCAAGCTGCTGGGATTATAGGCATGCGCCGCTGTCTCCAGCTATGTTGTATTTTTAAAATTTTGATTGTTTATTATTACTATGTAGGAAAGTAATTGATTTGTATTAACTTGAATCCCTCAACTTTATTATTATTGCTTATTAGCTCCAGTTTTTCATTGATTCTTTAGGATCTTCTATATAGATAATTACATCACTGGAAACAGTTTTTTTTTTTTTTTTTGCACCTTCCCAATCTGTACACCTTTTATTTCTTTTTCTTGGTTTTTTTTTTTTTTTTTTTGCATTAGCTACATCTCTCTTTGTGAGTTGAAAATTTCATGCTTTTTATATAGAAGAAAGTCTAATTTTTCTCAAAGATGAGATGAAATCTTTAATATAGTGGATAATAAAATGTTTTTACAGAATTCTGGGTTGTCCTTTTAAGTCAAATAAAATCATCAATTTTGCAATGATTTGTGAAATTTATTCTGTCCATTCATTTCATAAACAATTATGTCCTTCCACTTACCAGATATTGTTTTAGGCACTAGCGATACATCAGTGAATAAGACAGAAAAGGTCTGTGGCTCCAAGAAGCCTACATTCTCTTTGAAGACTTATAGTTAATGATGTATATTGAAAGGTATACAGTATCTTGTTTAAAAAGCTTGTCCCTATTTTAGTTATCTTAAAATCACAATTCATTCAGGAGTCAGGATAGAGAATCTTAAAGTTCTTTAATTGAGTACTTTAAATTTCTTCTTCAGGGAAAAAACAAATGTATACTGGATAAGCATAATGAATTTTGATAATATATCTAATTCATTGCCTGTAGCTAAATCTAACAGTTAGAGGAAACCTAGTTTGGATATGGAGCCAAGTTTGCAAGGCTTAAAAGTTATTACCACTCGGTGCAGTGGCATATGCCTGTAATGCCCGCAGCTCAGGAGACTGAGGCAGGAGGATTGCAAGTTCGAAGCCAGCCTTAGCAACAGCGAGATGCTAGGCAACTCAGTGAGACCCTGTCTCTAAATCAAATACAAAATAGGCCGGGTTGTGGCTCAGCGGTCGAATGCACCTGAGTTCATTCCCTGGTGTACATACGTACGCACACACACACACACACAAAAAAAGTTATTACCAAATCTGTTGGAGCTAAGAGCCAAAAACATGTTGGAGGGGAAAAGCACATCCTTTAGCTAGAAAATCATCTTAAATTCCAAATGCTATATGTTGCTTATCCCTTTGCCAAAGGTTCTTTTGGATAACTGAATCCTTTGATAATCGAATGAGGCTGTGTTCCTTCTCCCCAGCAAAGTACACCTGCATATGATTTTGGGAATTAGTAGATGCAAGTGAAAACCATTCATGGGACCCTTGGGGATTGATTAATGCTAAAATTAAGAATTCCTGCTGTAGTCAGAATTATAGAATTCAGTAAAGAAAGGTAAAGGATTACACTATTTTAGGATTTTCATTAAATGTGGGAGATAATTTCTTGATGCACACTTGTTTTATAAAATACTACATTTTTTTAAAAATAGCCTTGGGCTTTGAAAACTTTTCACATGTAAAGACATTTCACTAATAAAAGTGTTCAGAATTTCATAATTGGGAGGAAGCATAATAAAATCCATGAATGGAAGTTTCATTATTGTGGGGGAGAAAGTTGCTTTAAAAAAAAGAGTTGGCTGTATTGGCTTATTTAAAAATTTACCTTTTTTCATTAGGTGAGAACTAGAACAGTTGCTGAATGTGTAGCATTCTATTATATGTGGAAGAAATCTGAACGGTATGATTACTTTGCTCAACAGACAAGATTTGGCAAGAAACGATATAACCATCACCCTGGAGTTACGTAAGTATCATGGGCTTGACTTCAATGATTTTGTTGTTTTTAACTGTGATAAGCAATCATAAAATTATTGGCCTGTATTTTTCAGGGACTATATGGATCGTTTGGTAGATGAAACAGAAGCTCTTGGTGGGACAGTAAATTCTTCAGCCTTAACGTCTAACCGGCCTGAGCCTATTCCTGATCAACAGCTGAACATTCTCAACTCCTTCACTGCCAGTGACTTGACAGGTAAAGTGAAGGTCTTTTTGTGTACTTTAGGATAGCATGATGCAAAATTATATGCGGTTTGTTTCACATCAAAGGATCACTTACCTAAACCTTTTCCATTTCTTTTTAGCTTTGACCAACAGTGTAGCAACAGTCTGCAACCCTACGGATGTGAATTGTTTGGATGATAGCTTTCCTCCACTGGGCAACACACCCCGTGGACAAGTAAATCATGTGCCTGTTGTAACGGAAGAGTTACTCACCCTGCCTAGCAATGGGGAAAGTGATTGTTTTAATTTATTTGAGACTGGATTTTATCACTCGGAGCTAAACCCTATGAACATGTGCAGTGAAGAATCAGAAAGGCCAGCAAAGAGATTGAAAATGGGCATTGCTGTCCCTGAATCCTTTATGAATGAGGTTTCTGTAAATAATTTGGGTGTGGACTTTGAAAATCACACACATCACATCACCAGTGCCAAAATGGCAGTCTCTGTGGCTGACTTTGGCAGTCTGTCTGCCAACGAGACCAATGGTTTCATCAGTGCCCACACTCTGCATCAGCACGCTGCTCTTCACTCCGAGTGACACAAGGAGCCCAGAGACAGTGGGTGTGCAGTACCAGTAAACTTGAGGGGAGCTATCAGGTTTGCATAGTCTTTCACTGGAAGTTTGAACCTTTTTCACTATGACATCAGTGATGTCAGTATGTATAGAACTATATCTTGATTTATCAAGAGTATTTTCATTTTTCAATCCATAAATGTGGAAATGAACTATGATCAGCAGAGTTGGGAACTAAGATTGAACTCTGTGGTGCAGCTTTAAGCTCTGCTTCTCTCTTCCTCATCCCCTAGTACCTCTTCCCCTCTCCCTTATTTTTTCTATTCTTTTCTGTTCCCCACTGCCCCCACACCCAATTTTAAAACCTGTAGACAAGAGGCCACCAGCTCAAAACCAGCACAGATGTTCTGAACTGAATGGTTGGGCTTCTTTTCGTGTAAATTCCTTTTGCCGTAATGGATGCAGTGGAATAACAATGTTTACAGGTACCAATCCCAGTCCCTGCTCAATGTAGCATTTTTTTGGTTTTTGTTTTCTTTATTAATAAAAGCAGGGGTAGGTTTCTTTAAACTGCACAAACATGCAAGGATTTTTTAAAAATGGAAACTTCTCTCATGTTATTCAACTAGAGCACTTCAGTTTACAAAACAGCAAATACATCTTTATGGAAGCCAGCACGAATGAGGAACCGCGTGCAAATTATGAAGACTCTTGCTTGGATCCTGTTTAAAAATTCTAGACCAGGGCTACCTTACACAGAGTTGGTTATTTTACTGCCGGGAGATTTCTGTGTAATTTCATTTACTGGCTAAAAATTTGGCATTCAAAGATGTGGTATTCATATGGGGTTTTGTCCACCGTTGTAAAGATTGTAATCTTAAACCATACCGGTCACTGATAATTTATTTTATCCTGAGGCAGTTGACTTGCAGAGGCACAGTCTACAAAGCCTAGGATGTTGCCACTCAATGGTTTACATTTTGGGACACCTCTTAAGTTTGTAGCACTGCAGTTCAAAGTGTTAATATTTAGAGGGACTTCTAGATTTTATGCACAATGCAGTAGAACCTTGAAGTATATTTTAAGCTATTTGGTTTAGATTAAGCAGTTGGCAAGAAAAATGTGAGTGCCTACCTGAAGTAGAATGGTACGTTACCACTTTTAAGTTTTAAAAAGTGATAGACGTTCAGATGCATCTCAAACTTGGTTTTATTTTTATTCCAAACATTGTGAATGAGAAGCCATTGTCAAAAACATTGGCCATTTTTGCTGTATGGACATGCATCTTTAAGTTATAAGGTAAATCAGACAATATGTAATACAGTATTAGGATATAATAAGCTTTGCTTTTATAGTACAGTTAAAACAATTACCTTTTATTTGCACCGTCTTAACTAATATTTTTGATTTTTACTAGTCGTGTCGCTTTGCAAAAACATTGTTTGGCTGCATTGCTAATATTGTAAATCGCTTCAAGGTTGTGCTGATGAGTAGATAGGATGTAGTGGTCTTAGAAATTGAAAGGGAGGGTATTTATTATACAAACTGTGAACTGCAATGACATCCTTAGTTTTGGATGATGTGTATTCTTTTTTTCTTTGCAGCATTTTAATGAAGATTGCTTTGAAGTGTTTACGCAGTAGCACATTTACTATAAAATTTAGTTTAGCACAGTGGACAAAAGTAGTTAAATTAATAACTTAAAATCAGTCTCTAATTTATACATCTAAAGTCTAGCATTCCTGTAGCACACAGTAAATAATGGGTAGCCTGGGCTCTGTGTTGCTTTCTCATATTTGTATCCAAGTTATCAGCTTCTTATTGCTGTGTTGTTGTGCTAAACTTTGAACCTTATTTCTTTTGTTAAAAAATCAATATTTTCTATTATTTAGTAAGATACTGGCCATAATCTTCCATTGTTATAATTTTAATTTTCACTCTGGGTTTACAGTGGCTGGTCTGTATAAATAATTTACACAAAGATGACTGAATGCTAATACCAGTTGCACTTAAATGAACATGCCCATTCTCATTAGCTGATGCAGTAATATATTCAGTTTATCTATGCATTGCTGGGATCTTGATATAAGATGGAAACAGTGTTTCTTATCTAAAGTTTCGATTATCAGCAAGTTGAATGGACACTTTAGTTATTTAAATATTTTTGACCAAAATCCAGAAAATGATATGAGAGAAAAATAAATTCCAGCTAGTTTAATAGATTTTTAAATGCCAATCTGTTTTTAGCCTCTTAGAGAGTGCTAGCTAGCTGGTAACGTTTACTTTTAATTCCTTGTTAAAATGAGGCAATAATTTGCAAGATTTTTGTATATATGTGTAAATCCTTCATATCTTTTTAGATCTAACTCAATATTTTCTGACTACTTCTGTCATGTATAATACCATTTTGTGCATGCTTGATGTGACATTCATAATTGTACCACTATGACTTTATTCATGTAAAATAGCTATTTATTGAACTTTCTTTTAAAAGCTGGGTTTACTGGTTTTTTTTTCCTCTCCGTTTAAGCATCTTAACAGAGAATTTGTTACTGTTTATTAAAAGAATTGCGTTTCAAAGCATGAAAATATCTGATTTACGATCATATGAAGAAATAACACATTTATTATCAAGTGTTAAAAGCACAATTCTTATAACAAACTGTGATAAATTCTTTTTTTTTTTCCTTTTGCCGCATTATTTTCATATGAACAAACCAAAAATTCATGGTGAGCAGTTGCAGTGTTGGCTGATGTATCTTTTATGTACAGGGAATTTGAAGAGGACAGTGGATTCATTTAGAAGTGTAATTGGTGCTGTGATTATAGCAATACTTTACTTTTGTTAGTCATATTTCATCTTTTCCATGCTAGCTTTTTAAATGTTTAGTTTTCCTCTTGTCATGGTCAACTGCTGAATTACTTGAAAGATGTAGAATACTGTTTTAAAAATACTAAAGTCTGTACAATTAGGTCAAAGAATTGTGCAATCGTTTCCTTTTTAATTTTTAAAATTGAGGGTCATAAATATTTGAGAACGTCAGATCTAATAGAGCGTAGTGATACTATTTAATTTAACCAAAGTCTCTAGTAAATACTTCAACTTTGAATGTAAACTAACAAATAAACCTGACCACCAAGGAGATTGTTTGCCCAGAGTTTCAAAGCACATTGTCTACAAATGGAAATTGAAATAATTTATAAAAAATATTGACATTACTATGTTTTTTAAAAAGTTCCTAATTTTTTCACTAAAAGGAGGAAACTATTAGTTTTATTGTTAAATATGGTAGATATTAATATTCCTCTTAGATGACCAGTGGCTTCAGTTGTCCCAGTTTGAAATAAGTACCCTGTGAGTATGAGATAAATTAGTGACAATCAGAACAAGTTTTAGTATCCGATGTTCAAGAGGAAGTTGCTATTGTTGCATTGATTTTAATATTTGTACATAAACACTGATTTTTTTGAGCATTATTTTGTATTTGTTGTACTTTAATACCTGGTGTACAGTTCCAGAAATAAAAATCTGGAAATCTTTTTTTTCTTGGTTCGTGTGAATGAATATTTGCCAAAATTTTTTTTAACAAATCCTAAGCTACACCAAAATAGGTGGATTATACCAGTTTTAAATTGATTTTAGATGCAGTAAATAAGTATTTGATAGGTAAGTAATAAAATCAGTAGATAAATTTTTCTTAAATTCCCTGTAATAGTTTTCCATCTATAATAAAATTCTGATTATCCCAAAGCAAGGATTTTAGTTTAATTCAGAAAACATTTGATGAATGTCTCATGTTTCAAACACTGTTCTAGGCAAATGTGCCTTTTTGTAAAACATAGTATCTGAAATTTGATCAGATATGAATGATAGGCAGACTAGTATTTATGATTGACTACTCTCCCTTATCTAAACTATTCAGTTTCATCAACTCAAATCTTTCCTAAGCCTTCATATTTTCAAGCCATAGATCTCATTTAGCCTAATTTCTCATGTATATCCCTGTATTTCATTTGCTCTGACTAGAGCTTTCTCTAGCTCCATTTTTTTTTTTTTTTAAAGTATTAGGGATTGAACTCAGGGGCACTCAACCACTGAGCCACACTGAGTTGCTTAAGTGCCTCCCCATTGCAGAGGCTGGCTTTGAACCCGAGATCCTCCTGTCTCAGCCTCTCGAGCCACTGGTGATTACAGGCATGTGCCATAGTTCCATTCTTAAAATGCCCTTACCTACCAGCTGGGCACATTGGTACAATGCAGTTATCAGATTACACATAACAGATTTTGTACAAGGTCAAGAAAGGGACAAATGAAGGCAAACACCTCTACTATGCCTTGGTTACTTGTCTAGAAGTACATTCTTTCATTCTTAGACGCCAAAGGGCTTTCCTGTGAGAGATTTGTGGTCCATGCATGCACAGAGCACCACAAGTATTTAGAACACAGCCAAAAATGCTGTCAAGTGCTATAAGAGAGCTACATGGGATTTCAGGAGAAGCCCTGTGAAAGCAGAATAATCTCCAGTAACTTCTAGGGACATCATGGCCAAGATATTCCTAACTGGCTTCTCTGTTTCCACTTCTGGAATTTCCTAATTGTGTCTCTACTGTAATATGAGCTTTCTGGTCATAAGTGCTATTCAAAAAAATGGGGAAGTGGAATGGGGAATGCTGGATGGGAGTAGGGTGTTGTGAATTTCATTAAGGTGGTTAGATAAGCCTCACTGAGAATGTGACAGAAAGGGAGAGAAAGAACTACAAGACTATCTGGGGGAAGGTCTCTGCAGGCACAGTACAATTTCCCTGAGAAAGGTACAAGGAGTAGCTAGGAGGCGGGTGTGGCTGGGATGGAATGAGTGGGGAAGAACAGATGAAATTTGAGATAATAAGCAGCTAGATCATGTATGTGAAGGACTTCAGCATTTACTCTTAGATGAGTTTTGAATAGGAGTGTGTCAAAAACCTGACTTTGATTTAAAATAATCACTCTTGGAGATTTCTGTGAGGGGCAGGAGTGGAAAAAGGGAAACCAAAAGGAAGCCATTGAAATTGCAATAAACTAGTGAGTAAAGCTGGTAAGCACAGCAGTGAAGGTGGTCAGAATCTGATTATACAGTTTCCATGAGGATTTGCGGGGATCAATAAATATCCTCTTTCCTACCCAAGTTTGGAATTGATAGTTTGAACAGGAGTTAGGTGGATGAAGATCAAAGTAACATTACTAATAAAAATCAGGCAGGTGGCCTCAGAGCTGCAACTGTACAGACTTACATTTTTTTCTCCACAAAGAAAGAGCTGGAGAAGTGGGCTATGGGTGCCTAGTTCTCCAGAAGACACTCAGAAAACTGGTCTCTAATGAGTGGAAAGAAGCTAGAAGCATTACTAAAGGAAGCCCTACACAGAACTATGAGCCATGCAGAAGAGAGAGATTCCTAACAACTATCCTTTACTTGTATTCTCAGGCTGAAATATCTCTTGCACACTGCCGGAAATTTGTGTGTGTGTGTGTGTGTGTGTGTGTGTGTGTGTGTGTGTGGAATTTTTCAATAAGAAAATAAATAATGACCTTACATTTCCCCTTACTCAGCTGAAACAACCTTTAAAATTACACATGTACACACCAATTTACTTATAGCAACCAAAGGTGTTTTACTTTATCCTATAAAAATAAATGTTTTTACAAAAGTTTGTAAACATTAACAGTACTACAAGAATTGCTGATGCCTGGCTAAATTTTATAAACCATCACAGAGGTATACAAAATAAATACAAGAAAAATTGAAACTACAAGTCCAAGTAGTTTTAATAAGTTATTGTGTATTTAGGTGAAAATCGATTAAAACTCAAATTGCATTACAAGTTTGAAATTGTAATGAAGCAAATAACTTTTACCATTGAAAATGGAACGTAAATATATATTAATAGAAACATACTCCATTAGATTTCAAAATATTTGTTCTACAGGTAGAACTCAGAGAAGTGATTAACAAAAATACACTTAGATTTAATAGCTAAGTAAAAAACCTAATTTCTAACTCGCCAAGTTAGCTGACAATTGTGTAGTAGTTTGAAAAAAGCTCTTCTCCTTGCTCAATATCCCTAAGTGCAATAAGAACAACACATCGAAGTGGGCTGAAAAGAGAAAAATAAGCAAAAAAAAAAAAAAAGTATTAATAAGTATGTTCACATTTTTATTATAACTTTCTCTCAGATTCCTTACATTTTAGTTTATATATTCAATTTGCCTGAGGAAATAGTGCTTTTCCTGATGCAGGTATTCTAAAATAGAGTATGTCTGTTCTATAACATTTAGGACCACAAATCAGTAAGTTTATACAACCAACCAACTCTTCTGAAATTGTTTCTATGGGTCTCTAAAACTGGTATCACATAAAGGATTTTAATCCTTTTTAAAAAAAGATTACAGTTAGCCATTCTTTTATTAATTTGTATCTCATATTCTCAAAAACAAAAAACATAACTGGAAACTTTTAAAATACTTTCTTTCTGAAACAACAAGATGCTTATATGCCTTCAAACCTCCTGGAGTATAAGGCTAAGAAAACCTAATTATTAAACACTAATATACACATGTAAAGACATAAAGTTATTAAATTTTAAGTATAGTGAACAGTCCAAGTTTTCAACATCATTCACTGTGAAAGGACAATTTAATAGGTCCCATATAGCTGGATGTGATGACACATGCCTGGAATCTCAACTGTTCTCCTGTAATCCCAGCTACTCACCTGCGATCCCAGCTATTCTGATGGATGAGGCAAGAGGATTAAAGAAAGTTCAAGACCAGCCTGAGCAATTTAGTGAGACCCTGTCTCAAAATAAAATTCTAAAAAAAGAGATGGGGATGTAGTTCAGTGGTAGAGAACTTGTGCATGAGGCCCTGGGTTCAAGTCTCCCGTAACACACACACACACATACACACACACACACAGGTCTCATATAAAATAAAGGTTGTTAGCAACTCAGTGAAGTGACAAAGAATATATCTTTTGGGCTGGGGCTGTAGCTCAGTGGCAGAGCACCTGCCAAGCACGTGTCAAGCACTGGGTTCGATCCTTAGCACCACATATAAATAGAATAAACACACGCTGACCATCTACAACTACACACACACACACAAAAAAAAGAACTCTTAGCTCTCCAGATTATTTATATTTAAAATTGTTAAACTTGAGTATTCCCACTTAATAGAAAATAAATGTTACTCTAAAAATATGTCTTCTAAATATAGCCTTTTTTTCACAATTAGATTTAATTGTGAAATAAAGAAAGGAAACAATAGTGTAATTTGGCCCTTTTCTTCAGGTAGTAACTTTTTTCTATGGTAGAGCAAATGATGCTTAAAAAGATTAAAGTAAAAATATATTTGAAGGGCTGGGGATGTGGCTCAAGCGGTAGCGCGCTTGCCTGGCATGCACGCGGCACTGGGTTCCATCCTCAGCACCACATATAAATAAAATATAGATGTTGTGTCCACCCAAAACTAAAGAATAAATATTAAAAAAAATTCTCTTTCTTTCTCTAAAAAAATAATATATATATAATATATATATATATATATTTGAAGATTTTGTGGGTAGGAAAATAACAAAATCACTTGAAAATAACAAAATACCTCTAGGGATAAGACCTGTAAAGTACTGCATAATTACTCTTATGATTATGAGTAAAATGGATAATAAAAAACAGAATGAGGGGCTGGGGTTGTGGCTCAGCAGTGGAATGCTCACCTAGCACGTATGAGACGCTGGGTTGGATCCTCAGCACAACATAAAAATAAATAAATAAAATAAAGGAATTGTGTCCAACTACAACTAAAAAAAAAAAAAGGAGAATGAACTAAGTTAAAGAAAAGTTTTTACTTTTATATAAGCCTACATTAACACACTAAGGTGTCGTGAACATAAAAATATCAATTACATATATATGTGTGTGTGTGGGCAATGGGGAGTATTGGGATTGAACTCAGGGGCATTCAACCACTGAACCACATTCCCAGCCCTATTTTGCATTTTGAGACAGGGTCTTACTGAGTTGCTTAGCTGAGGCTGGCTTTGAACTTGTGATCCTCCTGTCTCAGCCTTCCAAACTGCTGGGATTATAGGCATGTGTCACTGCGCCCAGCATCTGTATATATTTTTGATATAGATAATTTATGTATAATGTATATGTGTGTGTATATTTATTATATATATATATATATTATATATATATATATACACACACACATATATATGTATATATATTTTGGGGGGGGTAGTGGTGGTAGGGATCAAATCCAGAGCCTCACACATGCTAGCAAATGCTTTACTACTAAGCTACATCTCCAGTCCTTTACTTTTCACTAAAATATTCTACCCCAAATTCTTTATAGCTTTTTCTTATAAATTATACTTAAGTACAGTAAAAGAAAGAAAATAGAAAATGCTCTTAGAATACTAACCTTTGTTTTTCATAACTGTAAGCAATGTTTGGAAGATACTGCTTCAGTTCTACAGGGAAAACTGCAGGCACATCAAATTCCTGATAACAGACATTAGCTGCTCTGTCTAGGAACAGGCACATATTTTTGAGAAACAGCCATCCATGCATGATACAAGCTCAGGGAAAACTGTATTGATTAATGATATCCAATGTATGGTTTTCAAAATTATTGGAACATGCTCAAAATAATAATTACTATTATGTTTCAGGCACTGTTAGATTTTACATGTATATCTAATATATATGAACAAATAATATATAAAATAAATATTGAAAAAGGAGTGAATAAATAATATAATGGAAATAAAATAAAAATTTTTAAAGCATATATATTTATATCTTATATGTAAACCTATATAATATTTATGTGTTTTACTGTTTACTTTTAAAATATCATGAAATAAACACTCAAAATAGTTAATGGTTAAACAAAGAAGTCAGGCTCTGAGTTCATGTCTCCCATACACCAAAGTCTACATGCTAGTTGTAGCCAGAAAATTAAGTCTTAAAAAAAGTGATTCATAAATTTAGCAACAAAAGGGGGATATAGGTCTAGTGATAAGGCTATATCAACAGTGATAAAATAATCTCTAAATTAACTATTCAAAAAATGCTAAAATAATAATGATCAAAAGGTTATAGTCAATTGTCTATGTTCACTGAAAAATCAGAACAAAAATCATAAATTAAAGATTTCCAAATAATGTATATCATTATTTCCCCAAATTCTCTCTGTGATATCTTCTCTTAAAAACAGTTATATTTGGGGCCAGGGTTGTGGCTCAGTGGTAGAGCGCTTGCCTAGCATGTGTGAAACACTGGGTTCCTTCCCCGGCACCACATAAAAACAAATAGAAAAAAGGTATTGTGTCCATCTACAGTTAAAAAAAATATATTTAAAAAAGAAAAGTCATATTTGCTTAAGGACTTTGAATAGCAGTAACGCCACAAATGCCTTTGGTACTCGTCATCTGGCAAAGAATTAGCCATTGCTGTACCTTGTCTCATAGCCCCATGATGTGAAATTACCATTTGAACAATTGTTGACATACTGTCCGATGGCCAGTGGATTATGAATTTCTGATGTTAGCCATGTACTATCACTCATTTTTAAAGGTCCAAGTCGATCTCTTCCATTACAAGATCTGAAACAGGTGAAAGCATCAGCTAAGGAACTCTTGTATCTTCAAATAAAATACCAAATTAATACTACAACTAAACAAGTGGAATTTCTCTGTTAAAAATGGTTGTCAAGACACTTGAGTAGCTACATAGTAGTCACCTAAATAGATTTTCATTTAAAGTACAAATACTGTAGGTTATAATTATGCCAGTAACTGTGGTTCTTTATCCTATAATTACATTTGAATATGGGCATCACCTACCTGTACACAACCTTTGATATCCCTTTGTCATTTCCATCAATGAGTACCCCATCCAGGCATCTAAAAATGAATGGATTTCCAATGGACTGGAAAAAGATTGGCTCATACTTTTGATATACTGTACCTATTATACAATAAAATAAAGACATATTATAGCAACATGTAAAAATCATAAAAATCCTGAGCAGGAACATGAACATAAGACAGAAAATTTTGTTTTAATTTCTCCATCACATTCTCTTTGGTTATTTTCCCTCTTTAAAGAGACTGCACTCAATGACAGGCGGAGCACAGAACCAACAGTCCACACCTCAGAACAAAAATATAACTATCTTGCTTAATTAGAAATATGAACTGTTACATATTAGATTCAGTTTTACAAAGTCCTATATAAATATATATTTTAAAGTAGAATGGGACTTGATATCTACTAAAGGGTATTTTAAGAAATACAGTTTGCTAATAAATAATGTAGACATATACAGGAATAAAAGAATCTGACATTCAGGCTTTTTCTCCTCTTACTGGCAAAAGAGGAAAGGAGGCTGGGGGTGTTGGCACATGCCTATAGTCCCAGTGGCTCAGGAGGCTGAGGCAGAAGGATGATGAATTCAAATCCAGCCTCAGCAACTTAGCAAGGTCCTAAGCAACTCAGTGAGACCCTGTCTCTAATAAAGTATTTTAAAAAAAAGGGGGGGGGGCTGGGGATGTGGCTCAGTGGTTAAGTACCCCTAAGTTCAATCCCCAGTAAAACCCACTGCAAAAAAAAAAAAAAGAGTAAAGGAGAAAATTAATATTTACTGAATATTTCCTATGTGCCAGTCACATTAATCTATTAAATTTATTTTACTATTAATTTGTTGACCTATTCTGTTGAATCTTTACAGCTGGGTTAGTTGTACAGGAGGAAACTGAGACTTGTGTGTTTAGGGATATAAAGTAAGAAAATAATAGAATGACTTTTTAAAAACATAAGTCTAACTCAAATATTCACACACACATTTTCACTATATATACCAAATAAGAGAAAGTTAGTTTAACAAATAACATATTCTACTGATCATTCTAATCAATAATGTTTTGCAAAGAAGCTGCTTTATTTGTATACTTCACAGGTATAAACAGTAGGAAAGTCTTTATTCAGTGATTTGTGAGTTTGAATTCTTTTGTTTTAACTTATATAGTTACCAACTAAGTCAAATTGCGTTATTCTCTAATGCTTTCTAAATAACTTGTCAAAGTGGGCCATACTGTGTTTTAAATTTAAACACTGATTAGAAAGATTTCATTAAGGGGCTGGGGATGTGGCTCAAGTGGTAGCGTGATCGCCTAGCATGCGTGAGGCACTGGGTTCAATTCTCAGCACCATATAAAATAAAATAAAGATATTGTGTCCACCTAAAACTAAAAATAAACATTAAAAAAAGATTTCTTTAAAATAAAAATAATTTATCTCAACAGATACTCCAGGACACTTTCTAAAACATACAACATAATTTATGAATAGTTAACTACCAAATTAGAATTTTAAAAATAAATGGAAATCTTTCCAGTTCAACCCCCTACTCTAAGTATTACAGGGCTAGATATTTGCTGAACTTTTATGCATTGATCTGTAAGAAACTCTTGGCAGTACTAGTTGAGCTGTTACCAGGATACATAGATACAACTGCGCCTTTTGGTACCAATCCTTTAGTAACGAAGACACCTCTTCCCGCAGAAATCAGTGAGCTAGTTGCTCGAGCAACACTGAAACCCAATGTCTTATAAAGAATTTCTTCTGGTTTAAAGATATTTTGCTGTTGATGTTTGTTTTCAAGTAGATTCACCCTTTGATACTGAACTGCCAGCAGGTCTTGATATTTTGACTTAACGGGTTCTGGAAGGATAGTCAAGATATCTGATTGTTTATGGAAATCATTTAAGAATAGTGCCTGGAAAACTTTCAGTAATGTTCCTAGGACATCTTCATCTGAGATAATTTTGTCTTTGGATTCCTCTGGAACATATCGAAGAGTCCTGAAAATGGGAAAAGTTTCATTCACTACCCTTCAACTGACAGAAGCCAGACTGACTTTACTTCTAAATTACTGGCCTTAATGAACTACAAGCTTATTCTCATGTGTGTAAAGAGCATGCAACTGAAGTCAAAAAGAATTGTTTGGGGGCGGGGGGTAGCTCTAGTTACCTAACTCCAATAAAAGTAGTAAATATTTATGACAGGCCCATTCTGTGTCACAGGCTTTTGGGTCCTTATTCCATCTTTACAGTCAAAGTAACTGAAGCTTGGAGATGTTAGGGAACTTTCCCAACATCTACCGAGAGTGCAGAGTCAGAAACAGAAATGTAGCTCAGCTTTTTTTCCTCATTATACCCAATAGCCATTTGGATATTATAAGAATCGTTGCACTGCAACTGCTTTTTACTCAGGCTTGTAGTTTCAAAAACAAACTTTATATCATTTGTCCTACTCCCTCCAGGAGTACACGCTTTAATGACATCACTTTTATTTCCACAACTGTATTGTTTCTTGTACTAATTGTACTTTTACTTCTGAAGAAAAATGTATCAAATCTGGTCTCACCATTCTATAGGAATGATGCACCTGAATTCATGCTTCTGTAGTATTAATCTTTGGGAAAGCTCCTCCGTTCGCCAGTTTTTCAGAAACTGGCCTTCGGTTACCAGTCTGCCTATTTGGGTGAGCGCGGTGCTTGCTTCTTGCAGCTCACCAGGACGATCTTAATACCAGCCACCACACTGACCCCATTAAGACTGACCCCCATCATAAACCCAACACTTCGTCGTGTCTTCGGCTGCTTCGTGCATTTGTTGATGCGTTAGCTACTCCAAGCTGGTTACCCTTACAGTCAGCTGCGTTGTTTTCACCCCATAAATTACTAATACGGAGAATTCAAAATAACCTGGGCTTTTCTGAATTTCAAGCAATCTAACCATCCCCGGGCGGAGAAAAGGCCAGCAAGCACTCTGACTAGGTAAAGACTTTTTAAGTTTCTAATTTTGTCCAAACAGCATTCCGGCAAGCTCGCACCAGAAAAGAATACGCGCTACCACAGTCGCGGACCACGCCAGCCTTGCAGACCTCGCAGGCCTAGCAACGCGGCGCCCACCGGGAAAGAGGTGACCTGCCCCGCCCTCCTAAGGCCAGCGCCCGCGGCAGACCTCCAGCCCGCCAAGGACGCCAATTAGCCTCAGCCTCGCTCGCAGCAGGCCCCGCCCACCTCGGCCCCGCCCACCCAGGCTCCGCCCTTCTCAATCCCCTACGGGTGACCTCAACTCCGCCCTCCTCGGCCTGCCTGCCTTCTGCTTCGCACCCGGCCTCAGGCTCGGCCCCGCTGGCCAGCCAGCCCTAGGCCCTTCGGTTGCCTCGGCTTCTTCAGGCTCAGGCTCCTCCCGCTTGAGACCCGGCGGCCCTAGTGGCGCCGCGGGCGGAAGGAAGACGTCTGGTCCGGCAGCCCCGCTCTCTCACCTCGGGTTGTGGCTTAAGTTCAGCGCGATCCAGGGAACGAAGCGGTACTTGTAACGGCGCCATCGCTGCCACAGGCCCCGCAGCAGGCGGCCCGTCATGGCTACCCGCTGGCGCCGTGACGGGGACCGCGCGGGAGAGGCGGGTCGAGGTCTCGGGTCCGCCCGGCCTGGGGAGGAGCGGGGTGCGCTGTCCCGCCCTCCAGGTCTCCGTCCTCGGCGTCCCTGGCACCGCCTGGTTCCTCTCGCCCGCTCGCTTCGGCCCACTGACTGACCCAGCTCACTGAATCAATCGCGTGGAGCTGGAGGGGGACCTGTTCCCCTTTCCTTTCTCCAACCATTGTGTTTTTTCGTTCGTAAACACGCACACTAGACCTGATTGTGCGCAAAGGTCACAGGGCTCCAAGGGGCTTCTGCCCTGGAGGAAGGCGTGCGAGGAGTGGGCTCCTGGTTTCTTTCTCACGGACTGTCCAGCTGGTCCTGGCTGCTGATCTCGCCGAGCATTTGTGCTCTGTTCCGCAAGCTCTTGTCCACTCTGCTCTTATTCTCTCCTCTCTCCGTTGCCTCTTAGCAGTAGCCTGAGTCTCCCTGAACCAGTTTCCGTGGTACCGCAGACCTCAGATCCTTCCATCCCAGCCAACTCGTTACCGCAAAGTGATCAATGTGGGAATTTCGCGAGTATATGAACTTAACTAATGGGACAAAATGTGATGATGCCTGTTTTCACTCTAGTTTTTCTCTTCATTCTCCCAAAAACCTGAAGGCAAATCTACATAGACAAATTGTTTTTTTAAAGCAGCTTTAGTTGGCATTCGAATAACTGCACGTTTAAAAGGATCAGTTTGATAAATTTTTGACACATACATCTGTGAAATTATCACCACAATCAAGATAATGAGCATATCCATTATACCCAAAAGATCCCCCATGACCTATAAGCCCTTCTTCCAGCCCCTCTTTCCAAACTCCAAGCAACCATTGATCTGTTTTGTGTCACTAGATTAGTTTGATAATGATGCATTATCCTTTTAATATGTCCTTGGGTTCATTTGGTAAAATTTTGTTTAGAAGTTTTGATTTGTTGTTGTTGTTTTTCTTGGCTTGCACATTCAATTTATTTTTTATTCATTTATTTAATTTTTATTTAACAAATACTTATTTTTTTGCATTTTTATTTTTTAAATACACGACAGCAGTGGAAAGCATTACAATTCTTATTACACATATAAGGCACAATTTTTCATATCTCTGTATATAAAGTATGTTTACAGCAATTTATGCCTTTATACATGTACTTTTTTTGCATTACAATTCTTAATACACATATATACCACAATTTCTTTTGTATTTTTTTGTAATGCCTTTTTTTCAGGTTTGGTATTTAGAATAATATTTACCAAATAATGGGATGAATTATTCCCTCTACAGGTGATATTAGAAAAGACTTTTACAACTCCTGTCCATAACACACAAACACACACACACACACACACACACACACACACACACACACACACAAATACCAGGTTTGGACAGAGCAATTACAATGGGGACAAACTACAAGTATCCCTTAACCATTTTCAAATCAACACATTTATTAGGAAATAAATGTGATGGTGCCATTTCCTTGGCTTCCATAGTATGCCTGAGAGTGAGAGTAAATCCCAACCTAAAGTTGAAATTGAACATCTCAGATATAGTGAAAATCCAGGCAGATGCCAGTGGCCTCAGGGATATTTTGTTGTATTCTAAAAGAAATAATGGGAAATAAAGTATTTGCCAACATCTCTCTTTATTTCAATCCTAATATCATGTAGGATGTTGGCAAAGTCTAAGGGCTTTTCCCTTGGACTCTTTGCTTGGTAACTTGGCATTCTTCATATTTACCTGATTTGCTAAATGGAGTCAATTGAGCTCCAGACAAAGAAAGACTCTTTAAGGTGTCCAGATCTAAAAAGAACCAAAAAGAATTAGTTGAATTTTTTCCTATAGTAATGTACTTGCTTTAAAAAGAACACTTTTTAAATTTAATTTCCCATGCTGACTAGATTTATGATATTAAAATTAATTTTTTTAAAATATTTATTTTTCAGTTTTTCGGCAGACACAACATCTTTGTATGTGGTGCTAAGGATCGAACCCGGGCCGCAGGCATGCCAGGCGAGCGTGCTACCACTTGAGCCACATCCCTAGCCCTTAAAATTAATTTTAGTTAACTAAGAAGTTCATGAAAACATTTTTAGAACAAATAGAAACATGATGGATAAAGCTAAAGTTTCCTTTAACTAAAACTTATACTTAGAAATTCCACTGATCCCTCAGCAGTTATCAGATTTATACATTTTGTCTTATTTCTTTTTTTTTTTTAATTTATTTTTTTTAAGAGAGAGTGAGAGAAGAGGGAGAGAGAGAGAGAATTTTTTTTAATATTTATTTTTTAGTTCTTGGCTGACACAACATCTTTGTTGGTATGTGGTGCTGAGGATTGAACCTGGGCCACTCGCATGCCAGGCGAGCGCGCTACCGCTGAGCCACATCCCCAGCCCATTTTTGTCTTATTTCTATGTTATTATGTCACTCTACATTTTTTTGAAATGATTTTAAAATTTCAGATTGAATTTGCTAGTGAAGCCATCTGGATTCTTGATTAATTTCTTTTAAAGATATTGATCTATTAAAAATTTTTGTTCATCTTGATTTGAATCAAGTTTAGTAATTTTTATTTTTCATGAAATTTGTTTATTTTGTGCAGTTCAACTTTGTTGTCATGAAGTTGTTCATAAATACTCTTTAATTTCTATATTATCTATGGTGATAACCCCTCTCTTTCCTGATTTTGGTGATTTGTATTCTCTTTCATCATCAATGTCATTGGGGGGTTTTCAAAGAAACTTTTGACTTTATTAATTTTTTTCCATATTAGTTTTTTCTATTTGTTGATTTTTTTGTTCTTAATATTTTATATTTTCCATTTATCATAGATTTATTTTGCTCTTTTTCCAGTTTCTCAAAGTAGAATATTAGGTCACTGATTTTGTCCTTTCTTCTTTTTAACATAAGCATCTAAAGTTATAAATTTTCTTCTAAGCATTCTTCAGATGAATTCCAGAAATCATTTTTTAAAATTTGTTTTAGTTAAAAATTTTTTTTAGTCAATAGACCTTTTATTATTTATTTATTTATGTATATGCAATGCTGAGAAATGAGCCAAGGTCCTCACATGTGCTGGGCAAGTGCTCTACCACTGAGCCACAACCCCAGCTCATGAATTCCAGGAATCTTGATGTGTTACATTTTCATTATCATTCAGTACCTTCTTTTTGTGGTTTCCCATTATACATTTTTTCTCACATTGTCATAATTTTTGTGTGTCATCTGTTTACTGCTGGACCCAACTCTGTTTAGATGGGTCAGCTGAGGTGGAAATACGGTGGTATAGGTTGATGATAAGAATGACTGAGATCTAAATGACAAGAAGTCACCAAATTTGGAAAGATTTCGGTGGATAGGAACCACAAAGGCACTAAGGTAGAGGAGTTTGACATGTTCAAACAAGAGAAAGAAGGCTAGTGTGACAGGGACATACTAAGTAAAGAAAAGGGGAAACATGAAGTCAAGGTAAAAGAAAGGAGGCCAAATCCTGTATATGCTAGTGAGGAGTTAAAAGTATAATGTTTTGGCATTGGAGAAGATAATGCTAAGTGAAGTTAGCCAATCCCAAGAAAACAAATGCCGAATGTTTTCTCTGATATAAGGAGGCTGACTCATAGTGGGGTAGGGAGGAGGAACATGGGAGGAATAGATGAATTCTAGATAGGGAAGAAGGATGGGAGGAAAAGAGAGGGGGCAGGGGGACTAGCAAGGATGGTGGAATGTGATAGACATCATTATCCAAAGTACATGTATGAAGACACGAATTGGTGTCAACATACTTTATATACAACCAGAGACATGAAAAATTGTGCTGTATATGTGTAATAAGAATTGTAATGCATTCCACTGTCATTTATTTTTTTAAAAAAATCAATTTAATAAAAGTATAATGTTGTTAGTGTAATGTGAAGCCACTGGAGGATTTTAAGCATGGGGGTTACACAATCTGATTCATGGTTTTAAAAGATTGGAGAATCAGGTGGAGAATAGGTAGACAATCACACTATACCAGGAAGTCCAGATAGGAGGTTAATACAGTAGTTCAGTTAAGAGATGATGGCAGCTTGTACTCAGGTGGAAACTGTGGAGGTGAAGAAAGTTGATGGATTAGGATATAGCTTGCAAGAGGACTGATAGGACTTGCTGATGGATTGGATGTTGGTGGTGGGGGGTGAAGTTTTGAAATGCCATCAAGAAATGTCAAATAACTAATTGAATATTCACATCTGGAGCTCCAAAGCTATAGTTAGAGATAAAATTAAGAGTCTTTAGCCACAGGAAGGGAGATATCATCAAGGAATAAAAGGAAGATGGCAAAGAACGTAGTGAAAGCAGTACAAACTTAGTGGTTATGGATTCTATGCATTTCTGCTTCTCTTGGAAAGTTTTTGTTTCATCTTAAATTCTGAAAGATAATTTTGCTGGTTATAGCAATCTTGGTTGGCACCTGTTCTCTTTCAGGGCTTGATATATATTATTTCAAAACCCCCTGGCTTGGGCTGGGGATGTGGCTCAAGCGGTAGTGCGCTCGCCTGGCATGCGTGCGGCCCGGGTTCGATCCTCAGCACCACATACCAACAAAGATGTTGTGTCCGCCGA